AGACTGCAGAACCGATAGAAATATTTGACGTAGGTGGCCAATTAGAATACGGTACTAATATGGTAAACGGTTAACGCTCTTATTGAGTATTTTCTCAACAGGAAGACGCAAACACAAATGCACACAAACCTTCGATCCAACCCGTCTTCGTGCTCAATCACGAGTACAATATTTTTTCCCCAAATAACGCTGATGAGATATGCACAGTACTCATGTCAATGAAAAACTCTTGAAGCAGCGATGCAGATGGCCTACAGATCCATCCAATTAAACATATGATTCACAATATAGCGCCTCTTCAGTTAAACATATAGAACACAGCAATCACTACAGGTATATTCCCTTCGAAAATGAAGACAGCCAAAGTCATACCAATATATCAAAAGGCAGACAAGCTAAACACCCAAAATTACCACCGCATATCAATATTGCCTAATTTTTCAAAAATTCTCCAAAAAATCATTTTTTCATTTCAGAAAATCGCGAGAGATCAGTACGGATTTCAAAAAATCAAGTACACGAAATTAGCACATTTAGATCAGAAAGATTACAAACTCAGCAACATAGAAATGAAGCTGTTGAAAATAGGTATATTTGTCAATTATGCTCAGCCCTTTCATCATATCAATCATAATATATTACTAGGAAAGCTAGAGAACTGTGAAATCAGAGGCATCCCATTAGAGTTTATTAGGTCAAATTTATCTCAATGAAGGCAATAAGTACAGATAAATCAATCTAAATTACCTTCTGGAAATACGAAAACAGGTGTTCTGCAAGATAGTATCCTAAGTGTCCTGCTCTTTAATTTATACATAAATGACGTAGTCTTGATATACAATATTGCTAAGTATATAATGTATGGAGACAACATCACCATATTCATTACATATTTATGTTACACCACACTAATGAACCGAGAGAATTAGTTCTTTCGAAGCATGTCAACATGGTCAACATGGTCAATGAGAAATCAACATGTCAACATGGTCAATGAGAAATCATCCCAAAATAAACTGCTATAAAACAAAAGTGGTAATTTTTCACGGCAAAGAAACAATCATTCCAAACAATGTTATCTCAGTATTAAACAACAGAAACATAGAAATAGCTAATGAAATTAAAGTACTAGGAATTTATTTCTGCAGCACTTTACGTTAGAACCGACACGTGCACCTTGTTATAAAAAATATAGCCGTATCGTAGGCATGTTAATAGGTAACAGATATTCTCTATAAACATCCGTAAAAGCATTAATCTGTCACTCGCCATTGGCGACACATCTTAATTTCACTCAACACGTATGGGGCACTGCCACTGAATCAAGCCGTCAGAAAATACACTTATTAGAAAGGAAAATAATATGTATAATAGATATTGTTACATGCCAACATCACACTAAGGACCTCTTAGGCAGTGTAACACACCCATTATTCTTTTCTTCTTCAACCGTTTCCTACTTCGTGTATGGCACTATATTAAAAATTCAGGAAATGGCATATTTAACAAAATAGCGTGTCTACAAGAACACACAGCAGCCTATACTACCCGTCAGAGTTAAGTATGGTCTATAATCCACTCACAAACCAATTATGGCATGCTAATGTTAAAAAAACAAATTACCCAGATTACTTAATCCAATTGAAAACGCTGGTTTTATTACATCAAACATAATGTGGTCTCTATTAGCTTCACTTATTTGGTCACTTTCTTACTGTTTTTTTTTTTGGAGGAGGGGGGTGGGCATTTCTCTCCTTCCCTCCGAATTTGTTTACACCATAGCGTAGAGAGCGAAAAATTACCCATTGAATGAGGTGCCTCTTTCGAAATGATTAAGGTGCCCCCCCCCCCCTTCAAACAATATTTGTGACTACGTGCCTGGCCATTCCGCTTGTGATGCAGCTCACCAGTGGGGCATGAGGGGCATCTGTGATATTTTGTTTCAGCACTTGGCAAAACATGGAATACTGGTAAACATGTACAGGTCCGAATTTTGGGTGCACGAGGCGACGTTTCTTGGCCTCGTCATATTGAACTGCGGAAATAAACCTCATCTAGACAAAGCTAATGCAGTCCAGCAGTTCTTATGACCCAACACTAAGCATCAGCTTTGCGAGTTCCTTGGTCTTTTCTGCAGGCTCTTCCCCTTCTGCTGTCGACAAACGAAGGTGCCTCTAAGGAGCTCCACTGGACAAAGGGTGTGTGGTTAGCTCGGCACCGAGGCACCGCAGGTAGCGTCCGGCGTGTCGCAGACTTTATTCAGACCAATATTTCTTTCCCCTCCCATTTTACTTTCTTAGTGATCTTATGCTTCTTTCATTAAGACAAGAAAGTCGGGAATGTTTATTGCGCCTTCACGGAGAAAACTGCAAAAAGAGCTCTTCCTTAAATTGTGTCTCATGAGCTACCTCTTTTCTCTCATATATGTTCTTGGAAGATTTTTCAAATATGAAAAGGCAGGTGGTAAGCATAACAAGGAAGAACATATGCTATGTTCCATTACCTTCTCACAATAATGCAGAAACATTCGCATGTAATGGTGTCTATTTCATTCCCTAATTTATTTAAAAGAACGTGCAATGTTCACAAAAAAGCTTAACATAATATGCTGGTAACGGTTTTGTCATATACGTCAGAATCGGCCGAGCAACAAAGCTAATAGACAACTACAAAGCCACAGAAATAGTCCTTTCTACACCTATGCAATATAACAGAATGGGTGAAATGCAAGATGCTGAAAAGTACAACTATTAAGGATTCTGATACATTCTAAATACAAAATTTTCACGTGCACTTCTTATTTACATATATGTTTCATTCGGTTTTTGCCCACAAAGCCTGTCTTGAATGCTCAGCGCAAACTGTGCCTCATTGTTCTAGAAGGTTCACGATTATTGTGGACTATTCTGTTAAGATGGTGCGCAAGACCCGAACACTCGAGATTATTCAAAAGCTAAGCGCGAAGACCACTGATTAGGCTGTAATGTTTGACGGCACATGTATAAATATAAATACTGACGCGCTTAGCCGCTTGCCAGTTGATTGACGGACGATGCTTTGTTCACCGCTATCAGTGCCAGTGTCTTATAGTAATCTGCCTTTCCTTTTGCGTAACCGCAAGTTCGGCCCAATAAACAGTTTATCCTGAACGCCCAGTCTACTTCTTCCGTCTGCGGCACGACCTCCTGAAATCTGCTGGAGGTGCTGCCTCTTTCTTGTTTCGGACGCCCCCGTCAAGCCGCAAAGCCAGGCCAGTGGCAAAAAAGACCCCTACGCCAACCCCGACCAGTAAACAAGCTGCAGGCAGAGGAGGCTACAACCAGAGTACATGTGCCTTTCTCAAACAACCATGCAGCCCTGGATCATCGACAGCAGCAACAATGACCACCCCCGTGCAGCCTGCCCCAATCCTTTTCTGCAGCCCAAGGATCCATCAACCTTTCGCGGATCATCAATCGAGGACCCGGAAAGTTTCATCAAAACATTCAACCGAGCCGCCAGCTTGAGTAACTGGTATTCTAAATAAAAAACTACGCCGCTTATACGTTTTCCTAGAGACGCCACGAAGACGTGATTCGAGAACCACGAATCCACGTTACGTACCTAGGGTCTTTTTCGGATGACCTTCCTGAGCACTTCCACGAACGTCGTTTGCAAGGAAAGGGTAGCCACCCCGCTGAAGACGCGGATGCAACTCCCTAACAAAAATATGACCATTATCATCGAGGCGATGACCCTGCTGTTTTGTCACGATGACTTCGCCATCAATGAGGAGAAGATGCGATTTCTGATGCAAAGGATCAAGCAAAAGCTGTGTACAGAACCTGTACGAAACTCGACCAAAATGTTATTGAATTTCTTACCAAGGCACTAGAGAAAAGGCGCTTAAGATGCGGGCAACGCAGTACAACTGCCCGGATAATTCAACTGCAACGAAGGCTTCATCTCTGACGACCTGCGCGAGACCGATCGAGTGATCTTGTGGTAGGAGCTACGTTTGCCGCAGCCTGTTTGCCAGTTTGCCGCCACTGCTACGTTTGCCGCAGCCTCAAACTGATTCGATCGGTGACATCGTCCACGGAGGAGTTCGTCAGTCGCTTAGAATCCCTGAAGCACCGAAGCATGTACCGGTAGCTGTGAGCTACGCCACTGCAGTGTGGCGCAACGCTCTTCAACGCCCGCGTCAAGACACTGCCCCACCATAGTTCTTCGGCCGTACACCGCCATTACCCTCACCGCCATACCACTTACCTGCCGGCCGGCATGGTGCTACCACTGCGGTCAAGCCGGGCACCCGCACCACCGCTGCCATTACTGCCAGATGGGACTACGTGGTTTCGCCATCAACGCGCCCCGTCCACAGCGGGGTGAAATACTGTGTTACATCGCCGACTATCTCGCCGAAGTCAGCAAGGGGACCTTCTCGTTTACCACCACCCGGCCCATACATGTAACAGCACCGCCGGCCGTACATTGGCCCGAACATGGCCGATAGACTAGACCGTAGCAGGAAAACTAAGGGCTGCAACCGATGGAGGTTCAATTGTTGTACGACGAACTGCCAAAGGTCCTCTGCCCCTCACAATGACGTCACGATGAAAGCTACAAAACGCACCGCAACTTGAACGTAGCCAAGCCATCAAAACTTCACGTACAGAAGACGACCTGACAACACAACATGGAAGCAATGAACAAAACTAACTTTGCCGTAACCTGACGCTTCGACGTAACCGCAACACAATACAACAGACTAGTGACCTTGACGTCCTATATTCGACGACCATTACATCACCGCTCTTGTCGACACTGGAGTCGTCTATTTCATCGTCAGTAGACCGTTCACCATGAAGATTAAAGAAGTCAGAACAACTTGGAGAGGCCCCGAAATTTGAACCACTGGAGGTAACCCATAATACCGGCTGGAGTCTGCACAGCAAGTGTCACCATCAATAACCGGACGTTTTCTGCCAGTTTTGTGATCCTTCATTATATCTCCGCAGATGTGACACTGGAATGAACTTCCTAAATCAACACGGTGCTGTCATCGACCTGAGATGTGACTTTATAGTACTAATTTCAGAAACATCTTGGTGATTCCCACGGCACCTAGCAATCATGTATAGAAAATAATGAAAGACCAAGTCTTCATTTCGTCTTGCTCAAGCGTCATCATTTCTGTCGGTGCCAGAACACCCACGCACTTTGAAAGCGCCATTGAAGACAACAAGCAACTATTCCTTAGTGATTAGATTTGCGCCGCAAGAGAAATCACCGAGGTGCGGAGAGGGAAAGCAACCCTCATGCTCACGAATTTCAAAATTTCAGCAACGAGTACAAGCATGTGAACAAAGGTACGACGGTCACCTATATAGACAAATTAGGAAAGCCATCAATACTTTCACCTTCTCTGTTTTTACAGAACCTACTCCGAAGAACCAAGCTCCTCAGGCAGCTTTCCACGCCAATCGAAGCCATAGAAACCATAAGCAAGAAGAACTTAAGGTCCTGGTCCTGAAATACAAGGACAGATTTTCGTCGTCATAAAAAATTTGGCAAACCCTAGTCGCGAAACATCACATAATAACAGAGGAAAGTGCCAGATCACTACGTAAGAGCTCGTGCACAGTTTTGACGGGAGAATGCGAGGCCATATAGATAATAGAGGCAAGTCGACAAAACGCTATGCCACGACATCATCTAACCATCTAAGAGTCCATGGGTGTCACCTCTGGTGTTAGTGAAGAAGAAGAATGGAACCTTACGCTTCTGCGTCGACTATCGTCGCCCGAACAAAGTCACGAAGATGGACGTGTATCTCCTCCCATGGATATACGGCGCCCTATATCGACTACACAACGCTAATTATCGTCGATGGACCTCAAAAGAGGCTAATCAAAAATTGAAGTCGGCTAGAGAGACCACGAAAAAACTGCGCTTATAAAACCAGACGGCCTGCTCTCGTTTAAGGTCATGCCTCTCGGCCTTTGCTCAGCTTCCGCCACCTTCCAGTGCGTTATGAATACAGTGCTGGCGGGCGTGAAGTGGCAGAGTTACCTTGTGTACTGTTATGAATTCACTGTGTCGTTATGGTAGTGTAGCTGATAGCGGTGTGCAGCCGAATGACGTCACTGAAGCCTGCGCCCAGAGGCGGAATAAGGAGGTAGTCGTTTTGTGAAACAAGAAAGTTTAACACAGCAGTATATCGTCTGTTCAAAGCCAGCCAACACGACGACGTCAGCCGGGGCTGGGGCAAATCCCTCAAACGTTCGGTCGTCACGGCCTTAAATAACGTTTTGGTCTCTTCTCCGAGACCAGCTACCGGTGCTTGGAGGTGCTCAAATAATCTATAACTAGTTATACGTATTATTCTCGAAATACTTCTGGCACATATTTTTATCACAATACTACTTAGTCTGCCACCGTAAAACTCAAGCAGTCTATACCATTTTTCACTCCTTTACTACTCTCTTTTTTTGGCCACTGCAAGGCCGTAGTAAGCATTAGACTCATAAAGGTTGGATAACAATTATCGAAACAATTTTTGGATCTCTTTTTGGCATAGTATTAGTTGTGATTTTACACATATGTGCTGAGCAGCATTGTAGTTGAGGCCAGCAGCAAGACATACATGCATTGCACTGGAGCATCACCTCCCATAATTAGTGTACAGTCTTTGCCCACCAGTGAACTGATTTTTTTTTCAAGCAGGCTAACAGACAGCTGTGTGGGAACTGTGTAGATGTGCAAACTTTGAAGTCTTTTTGAGGAGTGTTTTTGGGAAACGAAATTGGGTATATAGCTGTCAATATAAACTGTTTGCACGAAGGAGCTTAGTAGCTTAGAATTTATTATTCATGTATTGTCTAGAATTTCTTTGCGCTTTGCCGACTTTCCGCCCAAGTGTCCTAACATGCTTTGTTAGTGTGTTGTGAATGAGCTAAGCTATGTAAATAAACAGAGTAGTATTGCAGACGTGTAAAAAATATTGATGCACAGCCGTTTTCTTTAGCATGACATTGTCCAGGGCTTTATTCTTGTGTTTCTTATAAACATTGCTTGTCACTGGGCAGCAGCAGAACTATGCATCAAGCTTGCCGATATGGTTCGAGAAACACCGAGTTCGGATATAACAGTGCTGATGGATTTGTCTCGTAAGTTACTTTCTTTATATTCAAATGAGTGTGTTAGAATTGTCGTTTTTTAGCCATTCATCCTAATATGTTCACCCCATTGTATGTATGTATGTATGTAGTATGTATGTTTGTATGTATGTATGTATGTATGTATGTATGTATGTATGTATGTATGTATGTATGTATGTATGTATGTATGTATGTATGTATGTATGTATGTATGTATGTATGTATGTATGTATGTATGTATGTATGTATGTATGTATGTATGTATGTATGTATGTATGTATGTATGTATGTATGTATGTATGTATGTATGTATGTATGTATGTATGTATGTATGTATGTATGTACGTATGTCTCTTTTAAAGGAGAATCCGTTTATCACTGATGAGTAAGTTTGGTAAAGATTTGGCTGAACCTGTTTCCAGTTCTTTTTCTTCTGAGCCATTATACATTTCAATTGTTTTTTACTGCATAAAAATAAATGTAACCTTACACAAAATGTGTGCAATTGAAGAAATTGTTTCATTTGCCGACGTACAGTCATGAGCAAGAAATTGGGTAAAATGAAACCAACCAGCGAAGATTAGTTTAGAGCATAGCTACTCTACATGGCATATCTTGTACACCTTGCGTCGGTCGAATATTTCGATTTCAACATATCAATTTTAATCACAATAAGCAAGCTATCACCTGTGGTTGTATAGGTGTGTGGTATTTATGCATATTGTAATACCGGTTGAATAATACTATTAAGGTCACAAACCTAGTCAAGCTGAATACACGAATTTTGTCCATCAACCTTTTATTTGTACGAAAGCTCTCGTTATTAAAAATAAACTTCCGGCCGGGCCACCTCGTTAAGGAAATGTGCTCGGTGACACTGCGAATTGAACCCAGTACCTCCTAAATTGTAGCTGAGTGCTGTAACACCTCGGGTACTGCAGCAGTGCTTATATTCACCCTATTTCTGATATATCGTCAATGCTTCGAATGACACCAAATGCAAAAACGTCCGGTGAAACTTGGTCAGAAATAGTAAAAATAAGTAGAATGCGTTTGCCCAACGTTACTAGAAAATATAAACCACTGCATGTGGCTCTATAACCGTGCACTACTTATCTTGAACATTACTGTCATGATGTTGGGATAGCCTGCTCAAACGTACGCTACCCTCTCATAGTTTGCCGAATATCAATAAAAATAACATTGTATTGGCCTATGACATTGCTAAATAAATATCATAAATTCACTGTCACTGTGTCACTTTAACTAAATGCATACTCAGTCTGTTTCCATTATAGTTATTTAAGGAAGATTTTGCTCATTAACTCAACACAACCTAATTAGCATTGATTCTAACATCTAAAGATAGCCACACTTCATCTCACTTACTGTGTGGCTGTCGCTCCCATAAAACGCGTACTCCACTTTTTTATGGTCTCCAAGCATCCGACGCTGCTTTGCGGAAACTTTCCCTGACGTCTGCTGGGCCAGAAAATTGTCTTTATTATCTATCAATTTCAAGTTTTCGCGGAGACGAAATGAGAGTCTCTCTCTTTTTTTGTCCTTTTTGTACGTGTGATATCGTCTATCGACATCAAGACTCGCATAGACGTCCTTTGATTTGTTTGCTCACTGAAACAACGCTGGACGCATTAATTGAACCGTGTTTTGTGAAAAGCATTAGCACTGAAACACCTACCGATGAGTCTCCCTTGTTTTACGTACACACATATCTAAGCGTAAGTGTATGCACGTTCTCGCATTCCGGCTTTATAAAAATGCTGCGGTGCGTGGAACCAGCGAAATTTCGCTCACTATTCTATTTGATTACTCCTGTTCTATATTTTCACACAATTCGTCCGCAGGTACAAAAGTGCTTCCTGTGTCTTGTAATGAGAATATTGTAAGAAAGGCAACCTTTTACGTCTAGGTACAAAACACCCTTACGTTCACCACTATGCCGTGCTCAATTACACCGGATTAGTTGAGTAGCAGCGCCACTTCATAAAAATGTAAGATAACTGGTCGCGTTAAACAGGGGAAGATATTTGAGGCACATTTTCAAACATTGCATGCATTGATTTATTCGTGGTTTCATTGATGTGGTGCACCTGGAGTGCTGTTTACTTGTACTTGGCGTGATAGTGCATGGATCTTCGATGGCCAATTTCTTTTTTAGCTGCAGTCTTGGATGAAAGGCGATTGCTTGGCTTTGCACAGCACACCAGAACGTCTGTTGCAGCGTACGCGGCTTCTCGTAAGCGCTGTAGCACACGCTCGCGGAACTGGAACTTAGAGGCATCAAATCATTGGCTATCATCGTATACTCTCGATGCTAGACGCTCTCCGTGCTACCTTGATATTATCGGCACACACTTCTTTCTTTGCGTGTCGTTTTATCGGTAATCGCGTGTATTCCTCACCCTCTTAAGTGCCGAATAAGGTAAATTCGTACCCGCGCTATAGTAATCCCTTCCGATAAGAGAATTATTCGCTAAGAAATGGCGTAGCCAAGAGAAAGCTTTGTGAATTCGGCCTGAGATTGTTAGCAACAATCAAACGCTTTTTAGAAATCAAAATAATTAAAGCATACCGCAACATTAAAATAAACACTGGGATCAGGAGAACTGGAGTTACGAGAATTAAATTCCAAATAACACCGAATTTTGTCTCAAAAGTGAACTCGGAGAAGACAACCTCCGAAGTTCAAGAAAATAAACTTTGAAAACACGGAGCCCTATTCATATTTTAACTGCAATGCTGTTTGACTTTCTTTGATCACAAAAGCCCACTCACAAAAATAATTTCAGCCAGTTCGACTACATTGCCAGTAGCAAATGCCGTTTTTCTAATCATCACCCTATTCCTTGCATCCACAACGGAAGGAAGGCTTCTCCAAATAAATTTCAATTTACCTTCTCTTGCCACACCTGATACAACGTATTCGGCCCA